CCAGTATATTTGGGCTTTTTGGGGAGGTTTGTGTCACCTTGGTCAATTACTGTGGCGACCAAGATTGAGTCAGTTTGGAGGACAGCTTGTTTAGCTGCCTGATCTGCTCGATTGTTTCCTTGGGAAATCGGATCATCCCCTGTCCTCGTTTGTTTCTTCATTGCTGTGACAAAACACTCTGACCACTACCAACTTGGGGAGGAAAGGGTTTATTTAGCTTGCATATCCCAGGTCACATTTCATCTGGGAGCCCAAGGTAGGAACTCAGGGCAAGGAGCTAGAGCACAGGGCATGGAGGAACGCTTACTGGCTTGCTCCCTTGGCCCCTGCTCAGCCTGCTTTCTTATGCAACACAGGCCCACCTGCCCAGGGGTGGCACCACTCACAGTGGACTGGGTCCTCCCACATCACTCATCAAGAAAATGTCCCTCAGACATGGCCACAGGCCAGTCCAATAAAAGAAATTCCCCAATTGGGGCTCCCTCAACCCAGGTGTGTCAAGTTGACACTAAAGCTATCCAGCACATCCCCTTTTTGATGACCTGGGCAGTGGATAATTGCCAATTTCTTTGGCAGCCAGAGAGCCCTCAGCAATGTTAGGGTTTCTTTATTTTTGACAGTCTTTCCCTCTGCTGTTAATAAGCCCCGTTTTCGATATGTTGCCCCATGAACATGTGCAGTGGCAAAGGCATATCGGCTGTCCGTATACACATTAAGCTCTTTGTCCTTTCCCAATGCGAGCGCCTTAGTTAGGGCAATAAGTTCAGCCTTTTGGGCTGAAGTGCCAGTGGGCAGAGGCTCTGCCCAAATGATGCTGGTTAATGATACTACAGCCGCCCCTGCATACCTCTTGCCATCCTGGACAAAGCTGCTCCTGTCAGTGAACCAAGTTACTTCAGCATCAGATAATGGTATCTCTCAGATCTGATCGGGTACCGTGGACATGGGCCAGGATTCTGGCACAGTCATGCAGGCGGGCATCCAAGTCTGGGTCCAGCAAGAGAGTGGCTGGATTCAGGGCAGCTGGTACTTGGAAGGTGATTCTAGCAGGATGAAGAAGTAATGCCTGATAATGAGTTATATGGGCGTTACTTAGTCATCTGTCCGGGGGCTGATTTAAAGCTCCTTCAGTTGCATTTGGTGTGGTGATGGTCAAGTTCTGGCCCAAAGTCAGTTTTTCAGCATCTTTTACCAGTAGTACTTCTTTGAGTATATAGCCCAAGTATTGGATCTGTTGTTTGCATAATTGGGCCTTTGTAGCAGAGGCCCAATAGCCCAGGCTTCCCAACATCTGCAACAGGCGTTCTGTGCTGTCCATGCAAGCCACAAGTAGGTCATCCACATACTGCAAGAGACTCCTTTTCCTCAACACTATCTGTCTCAGATGCCTCTGCTGGTCCTCTGGATCCGCAGTGGCAGCCAGCAGGATCCTTGCCAGGTCCTTGTTCTGCCTCCTTTCTGCCTTTTTCTGTTTTTCCTCTGCACTATCCCTATTATTGTACACTTTCTCGGCCACAGTTATTAAATGCCTTAAGCTCTTTTCACCCAGTCTCTCTAATCTTTGGCGCTTTTTTATATCCGGAGCCGACTGGTTAACAAAAGCCATGGCCACTGCTGCTAAATTATCTTTGGCCTCCAGGTCTAATGGAGTGTACCAGTGGAAGGTATCCGTTATTCGCTCCAAGAATGCAGCTGGGCTTTCATTTAGTTCCTAATATTGTATGCCTTTGCCAAATTCATTGGCCTACGAGCAGCCACTTTGAGACCTGCCAACAGAGACTGGCGGTAAACCAGAAGCCTCCCCTTACCTTCTGCAGTATTAGAATCCCAATCAGGCCGGGTCAGTGGATAGGCAGCATCAATCAGTGCCGGGTCAGTAGTAGGGACACCAGTATTGCCAGGAATTAACTTCCTGGCTTCTGGTTGGATATGTTCCTTTCCCCTGTGGTAAACAGAACCTGTAATAATTGATGACAATCATCCGAAGTGGGTTGGTGTGTGAATAAGACAGTTTATAATAAATTAATAAGCTCCTTAGGATTTTCAGAAAAGGGAGCATTCTGGGTTCTCCAGTTGTAAAGGTCACTAGTGGTGAATGGCCAATAGTGATGGGGCTGGTTTCCAGCCTCATCGGTGGGGCTGGCGATTCTGAGGGGTTAAATAGTAGAGTCTGGACTCTCTGGTGTTGCTGCCCTTCTACTCCTAGTACCCTGAGCCAGTCCCCCGTGCCTGTGAAGAATCTGGTACGAGGGTTGCCGGTTCCGGAGGGGGTACCTCCTGTGGAGGAGGTGGATAAGGCGGGGGGATTAGATCTTCTGTGCTGCTCTGTAAGACAGGGTACAGTGACGGTACCGATGGTTTGGTTTCAGGTTTAGGTGCTTTCTGGGTTGTCATTTTCTGTTCTGTAGCCGTCAGCACCTCAGTTTTCTGTAAAGGAAGAAAAGACTTGACCCAAGGAGGGGGGTTACGAACTAAATCTCCCCAGACCATTATGTATTATATTTGATCCAAGTGTCTCACACGTGGTTGAAGAATAATTTCTCAACCGCATTAATGACAGCAGGATCAAAGATCCCCTCCGAGGGCCATCCCACGTTGAAAGTGGGCCATTCAGACCTGCAGAAAGTAGTTAGTTTATCCTTCCTGACAACAACAGAGAGGTTATGAGCTTGAGTCTTAACCTGTCCAAAATGTGCAAAAATCAGGTCCAGGGGTGTAGAGGGAGTCTGTCCCATTGCGTCCGTCTCAGTCACAGAGAAATAGACAACCAAAGACAAAACAGAGAGCCAGAAAGACACGCAGAAGGCCAAGTAGTAAATTCCCCTGCTCATGGGGAAGAAAAACTGAAAAAGGACAGCGGCGAACTGCTGTGCCGTGGGAGCGACCCGCCTTGTCCTTTCACAGAAATCAACAGAGTCTGGGGCCCTCTGTCCCCTCTGCCGGGGTCTGGAGCATCTTCCAGACCTCTGTGGTCATGGTCATCCAGTGCGTCCACTCCTGACCACACTGTTCACAAGTTTGCCTTGAGGCTCAGAACAAAAGCTAGGTCAAACACAGACAGGTACCCCTAGAAACAAACAGACACTTAGTGGGCCGGCCAGGAACCCTCTGGTTCAGGGGTCCTGGGGGTCTTGGGGATCCCGGACAAGTCCCCAAGATATTGTGCCCAGTTCACGAGACCCCAAATACTACCAAGGAGCCAACCAATGCAAATACACAAGGGTTCTTTTATTGTTACAAGCTTAAGCTGGGGCCCACTCTGTCACTGACCTAGCAGATCTCAGAAGTGAGACCCCTTGCTTTGGGAGACAGAGGTTTTTATAGGTTTATTTCAGCAAGTAGGGGAGTAGGGGGTCTCCAACCCGGTAAGCATCTGCAACTGGGTTGCAGCCCAGTGCCAAACTATAAACTGACATTTGGACTTTTAGTACTTTCCTGTCCCTGGTTAATTGACCGTTGGCAGGGGAGTTGTTCTTGATCCATTCTAAGTATTTTGGTTTCTCTTGGAACAGGGCCCAGGGCTGGGTCAGTCCTATGGAGGTTTTATCCAATATGGAATCAGTCAGGTCTCTCACCCCCCCTCTCTTTCCCCCCCTCCCTCCCTCCCTCTCTCTCCCACTTGCCTCTTCTTCCCTCCTCCCCTTTCCCCACTTACCTCCTTCTTCTCTGTCTCTGTCTCTGTCTCTGTCTCTCTCTCTGTCTCTCTCTCTGTCTCTCTCTCCTCTCTGTCTCTTGACAAGTTTTTTGCTTTGTAGTCACAGCTAGCTTGGAGCTTGCTATTGTAGACCAGGCAGCCTTGCTCTTACAGAAATCTGCCTGCATTTGCCTCTTGAGTGCTGGGATTAAAGGGGTGTACCACAACCCTGGGCAGGTGTTAGTGTAATTACTTAGATTAGTTTTATTCTCCCTAAAGGTAAGTTTTTGTTTTAAAGTTACTGGATACATGCCTGTGGCTACCTAAGTGTCTTTTTTTCTTTTTCTGTTTTTGAAACAGGGTCTCACTTTCAAACCCAGGCTGACTTCAAACTCTGGATCTTTCTGCTTCAGACTTCTTAGGCATTATAGGCACACACCATGGCTGTTTATGTTGCCTGTTTTCTTGGCATGAGGAGAAAATGAACCAACAGGAAACAGCCAGACATAGAACTGGCTCTTAATAGATGCTTTGAAAATAGTAACACAGTTCCTTGATGTTTAGATTCTCACAGATGAATGGATGCATGCTTTTGATTATTTAGATGAAATAAAGTTTTATATTAGAGCCTTTTCTTATTATAAAGTTTAAGAATTAAAAATT